TTGAACTATTTTTGCATAGACAAAAGTACAGAGCAGTGAAAATCATTAATAAATAATCGTTCGATGAGCTAAATTGCACAAAACGCATGATCGCACCGGCTAGTCTGGGGCGCGTTGCTATTTATTTTTTTAGCTGAGACGGTTTTTGAGTCTTCGCTGACATTTCCTGCGATGATAGCTTGCATTTATTGAGTTTATCGAGAAAAAAGGCTGTAATTTACATCAGTGTCATTTTTATCGTATGCATTAACTTCTGAGTTCTGGTGTTCATTGCTGAAAGAAAGAGGCCGATAACAGGTAGTTTTAACTTGTTAGGATATGGGAGTGTTTTGTGAATCGCGTTAACATGTAGATTGGCTTCGATAGTGGCACACGTGAAGTTGTAGTTGGAGTTTACGGAAACGCTTTATGGAATGGTGGGCGCATCTGTTATATCAATTTTTGTTGTGTTGTGGGTGTAGTCTATTTCGTTTTGGATTACATTGTTCGGCACTTTCTAAATTCAGCACCCCCGGGAGCGTCCCTTGCAAAGCGAATTCATTGCGCGCAGCTTTAAGTATTTGGCGAAAATTACCATCTTCCCTTTCCTTCCTCCTTTTCCTGCTTATCCGACTTTCTTTACTCTCTTCCCTTCTTCTCCTCTTCTTCCTTACGCACTGCGGCCGTCATACTGACAAGGTTCAGTCGCAGTGTGGAGTTAAGACGTATATGACTCAATGGACCGAAACGTCTTATCCCACTCTCACCACCAACCTTCATTATTTTCTCTTGCATTTGCGCATCCCACCATCTGCACTTCCAGGGTCAACCTGGAAGCTGCAATCTACTTGGCGCTGGTGGCCAACGGTGGAGAGGAACATAATCGAATTTTCACAATTAATGGAAAGCTATAAGTGCTATTTGGATATCCCAAATAAACAAGCCTGTACTTGCAGTGGCTTGGTAGCATATCTATGTTTCATCACTGAGCTGTAAACACAGACGGCAAAATCGGTGCGAAATGGAATGTGAATCATCAGTACAGCGCCCCATTTCACCATTTTTCCTTCAAAGTTTCGAGGAAAAAATTTGGAGTTACTAATCCAATTGTTTTTTTGACAGGAATTAACTCATCCTTTAGCTGTCGCGTTAGTGATTACATCGCAAAGTAGCACTTCCAGAAACTACATAAAACAAAAAACTTCTCGTGAGGGCCTCACCTCAATCTCCATATATCACCGGGCGAGATGTGATCACCAACATCATTCCAAACTCCCATCAAAACAGAGCCTGTCGGATCAGCAACACGTATCGTGCGTACATCATGTCCCTGTGGAGTGCGACGCGACTGCCCTGAAAAAACAAATATTATTTAAAAAAAGAAATGCGTCGACGAAACAGGAGTTGATCAAAATAGAGTACCATTAATACTATCAGTTAGCAATTTTTATGCGTTTTTTGCAGCTATAAAATGCAGAAAACGCATACCGACGAGAGGTTGTCTGTGTGTGTGTCTGTGTGTGCGCGCGAGCCTGTACCGATTTTTCATCTCGAGACCCACAAAAGCTACGGGGCTGAAACTTGGGGAACTTAATCTACATGCGTGTACGGGCCTCATCTCCGGAATGGGCGCTCTTACTCGCGTGGTACCCACGTACGAGTCCGTGAAAGTTCCTCGCGGGTAAGTCGCTAACTCGGGAACTAGTAAAGCTAGAAAGCTGAAATTCTGCGGGGACGTTCCCAGCCCACATAAGTCTCAACGAGCTCGAACTCAGGCGTTAAGCATGCGTGGTACCAATGTACGGTGAAAGTCTTTTTCGAGTAAATTACTAACTCAGGAGCCAGGAAAGCTAGAAAGCTGAAATTCTAAGGGGGTGTTTGCTGACAGTTCTGGCGGCCAGTCTTAATTTGTTTAGCTAGACGCATTTGCCGGAAAAGCTAGACGCATTTGCCGCATTTGCTCTTAGCTGCACGCCCTACACCGAATCCTGACCGGTTTGGTGGAAATCGAAGCCCCGGATACCTCAATATATTTCGCGGTGTCCGAGGCGCTTTCGTTATCAAAACTGAAGTAGTTGCACCGTTTCCCGTGGTCTAAGGAAACTACTGATTTAGTAAAATCTGGACTGCCTGTTAATTTTATTATCTACTGACTAAATTACAACATCTGCAAGAGCTGGCGTGAAAAGCACAAAAGCAAACAAATAAAAACGAAGCACATGACATGTATTTATTTGATAGTTAGTAGTAATTAAAGAGAAAGTAATGAAAAG